CTTCCACTCCCTCCTAAATACACACGTGAATCCCAGCTATGCTTTTCCCCATATCCTCCACCCCCTGATACACCACCACCCTCCCCGTCTCATTCCCTATATCACCCCATAACTCATTCCTCTTCAAATTCTCCAACAATCTTTTCTTCTTATAACTCGTCCATTATTTGTTTCCAAGAGACTTTTCTCACACATCCTTCTATACCAATTCCCAATTACCATTTTGTCTCTTCCCCACACTCCCTTTATGTCTCGTCTATACTTTTCCATCAGAAAACACTTTATGTCTCCCTTTCAAACCACTGTCCCTTGAACAGTCATCCGCATCTGTTTTCGCCGCTGGATCACAGTTATTTCAGTCTTCCTCTCCCCTTCCACCCCAATGACTTTATTGCCTTTGAAGCTCTAATTCCTAACTCCAGCCACCTTTCTTCGTAGTTGGTGATTTCAACTGCCGCCATACTGTTTGAGGTGATTCTATTATCAACTCCCGTGGCCGTGAACTGACCTTATCATTCTTAATTCAGATCACCCCACACATACCTTAACCTCTCTCTATGCTCCCCTTCTCCATTTAGATTTCCATTGGTCAGGTCTAGGCCACTTTCTCTATAGTGACTACTTTCCAGTCCTCCTTTCTCTTACTTCTTATTTACCATCTCCTAATCCCCCACGCTGGTGTTTTGATAGAACTGACTGGTGTACTTTCATTTCACTCTTTACTATTCCTACCCCTCCATCTCCCGTCTCGTTTATTTCAGAATGCTACAGTGTTTCACAGCTACAGCCCTAAGGGCTGCATATACAGTCATCCATCGAACCACAAGACCTTATACCTCCAAATGAGTAACATGGTGCAATTCTGATTGTATCAAAGCACTTTGCTTGAAACGCGTAGCCTATCAGCCCTTATCAACGAAAATGTGTTTCCTCAATTACATCTTCTACATCTATTTCGGCTGTTTGGTGTCAGATCCATAAAGTATCAGGCAAACATCTCCCCCATCCAGCCTTCGTCCTACATATTTGAATTACTCTCATCTCTGATCCTCTCCAAGCCTCTAATAAACTGGGTGACTATTTCAGCCACGTCACCTTTCTCCACGATTCTCTTCTATTAAGACCATCAGAGAACGCAGCCCCATCATCTTCACCCTCTCTGCCGACTCCTTTAATGCTCCCTTTTCTTCCTTTGAACTCAATGCTATCTTACAGTTGTTCTGCAACACCCATGAAAGCCCAGATGGTATTCACTACCGTTTGCTTCGACACCCTTCATCTTCCTCTCTATCCTGTTTTCAACCACATATGGACGATAGTAAATTTCCATTTCATTGACGAGAAGCTTTGATCCCCCCCTTCATGAAACCCAATAAATCAGGCACCCTCCCGCAAGACTAGTACCCCATCGTTCTAAATTGCCGATTGCTCAAACTACTAGAGTGAATGGTTAACTTCCACTTAACGTGGTATCTCGAATCTCACAATCTTCTATCTCCTTCCCAGTTTGATTTTGTACAGCTGACCCTCTTGCTCATTTCGAGACATATTTTACATTTGCACTCCATATTAGCCATATTTTTTTTTTACCTAGAAAAGCATATGATACCACATGGCTTTACCATATTCTCCAGCAATTGTCCTCCCTTGGCATATGTGGAAACATGGTTGTCTAGAAATGTCTTTCTTCGTCAAATGCAGATTTCAGGTCAAAATTGCCTCTTCCACATCATCACATTTTCCTCAGTTCGAAGGTATCCCGCAAGAGAGTGTGCTCAGCGCCACCATATTCCTTCTTGCCGTTAATAACATTGTATTAGTTCTACCACCAGGGGCTCGGTCATCAACTATATATCGATTATAGATGCCATATATACTCCTCTCCCTTCTTGCTTACCTTGATACAATTCACCACTGTGGTCTTCGTTTAACCCTAGGTGCTTTCCGCTCCCCTCTATTTAAGAGCCTGTATACTGAGTCAAGCATGCCATCTCTCTCTTGACGCCGCATCCTTCTCTAGCTCCAATGCCATGCTCTGCTCTACCAACTTCCCCTCACCAACTAACTATCCCACGATCCCTGCTTCTTACCTTTGCTTCTTCTCCATGTTTACCTATTCCGTTTTCCATTCGCATGGATACCCACCTCCCATTCCGCCTTTCACCATCTCTGACCTTTGTTGTTCCTCTGTTATTCCTGACCCACCAAAATCAGATATCCCCCCCCCCCCCCTATGTTCTTCTCACCTTTTTCCTTGACCAAGTCTCCATTCATGTTTACACTGATGGCTCCAAATCCACCTCCGGTACTGGTTTCGCAGTACCCTTCTTAACTCGCACTTTCAAATACCCCCTCCCTCCTGAGTCCAATGTCCTTACTACAGACCTATATGCACTCTTTTTTGCCTTAAAACACATATACTCGCTCCCTTCTTCTTTCATTATTTTTACTGACTCCCGTAACTCATTATCTCTCATAAAGTCTATGCACTCGACCAATCTTCTTGTCTGCAAGATTCAGAACTGATTGTTCCACATGCCATAAATCTATCCTATTTTGCTTGGAGCCCAGTCATGTTGGAATCCCCAGCAATGAACAAGCAGATACTGTATCATGCTCCGCTGCTGTATCCACATCACATCAACCACGTTTCTCACACATTCCAGCCACGGATTAATACTCCCACTTTAAGACCTTTATACCAGATGGCAATCTGTCTGGTTAAGTCTTCATACTAGTAAATTGCATACTGTAAAACTATCAATCTCCTGGTAAGCCCCATTTAATCGAAACGGACGTTGGGGCGGCTCTCGCTTACATATTGGCCACACCCATCTTACACACTCCTATCTGATGTCGTGTTCTGATCCGCCCTTATGTAATATCCCTCTTTCAGTGTCCACACTTTGCTGCAGCCCATACCTCTGCTTTCCCCCACCTGTTCCCCCTTCATCGACCTCCCAACCTATCAGACATCATTATGGAATCCTACACTTTCTGCTACAACCCGTTCCAATATTACTCTAGATTGTTGACATATAGCTACTAATTACTAACTGAACCGCCTTTCACTACCTTTTACTATGACATCCTATAGTGCTATATGGCCTTATATGTCTAGCACATTTATTTCTGCTTTTAACCATTAACCATTCCTGTGACCCGTGTGCCCTCACCCGAGCAGAAGGTGGAGGACCACGAGCGCAGGATCAGCCACTGGGATGCCGAGGGCAACTTCACCATGAGCGGGTGGGCGAGAGTCCTCGTGCGAGAGATAGACAACAGGGTGGCGCCCCTCCGCCTCGCCCTCGACCGCCTCAACGACACGACCGCCTCCCTCGGGAACGCGACGACGAAGGTGAGTGAGGGAAGGGACGAGTAATGAGAGGAGGGTAAATTCCTTATAATCGCCAGACAAAGGAAACCACCCAGTAAAGAAGATACACTTTAGTAATCAGTTCATCAGAATACTTCATCTTAACAAATACAGTAAAATTATGCCATATAGATACCAGCGTCTACATAAGAAAAGAACGATAAAAAGTTAATCATGACATCATTTCATCACCGGGCGCAAAGTATATTGGTATCTGACGCGTATATCCTTATCCTCTGACGGAGAGAAACTTTCCCCACTTCTGATTACGGTTTCTTCCTCCTCGCCATTCCGCCCTTCCTCATTCCACGTCCGCACACTCACCAGACGAAGGAGGACATACAAAAAATGGAACAGGAGAGAGAAGAAGACCGGGAGTATGTCAGAATCCTGGAGGAGGCGCTGGAGGGAACGTCGGTCGAAATGGAACGATTGGGCACCGACCTGGACCAGCGGGTCATGGACCTCCTCCTCCCGATGAACGACACCATCTTGCTCGTCGGGCATGCTGTCTGGAGGCTGCAGAACACCACGGAGGACATCAGGGATAAGCTCACGGAGGTAGGAAGGAAGGGGGGAGGGGGGTGGTGTAAGGACGCCTGTATTCTAATATAAAGGCCTTTTTTTCTTTAGGTTTATTCTTGCCTGCTGTTCACTTCATCTTCGAAGCAAAGAATAATGATAGAAAAAAGAATAAAAACACCAACATGATTCTAATAATACTAGACATATAGATTTAATTAGAATGACGAAATTGTGAAGATAGTATTATAACAATGATAATAATGTAATGGTGATGATGGTGGCAAGAAAATAATAATAATAATACTGATAATAATGATGGTGATGATGATGGTGAGAAATGATAACACCAACGATAACATTAATAAGAATGATTATGATAATAATTATATATAATGGAAATGATAATAATGATAATGATGATAATGATAATGATCATGATAATAATGATAATGATAAAAATGATAATGATAATAATAATAATTATAATATTAACAATAATAATAATCATTTAATAGTAATAATAGTAGTAGTAGTACTACTACTACTGCTACTAATAATAACAATAATATTGATAATAGTAATAATGGCAATGATAAAACTATGATGATAGTAATAATCATGATAATAGAAATAATCACAAGAATGAGAATGCAACAAAAATGAGAATGCAACAAAAATGACAGTAATAATGATATGGAGAAAAAAAAGCGAATTACTAGAACTATATTTTTGAAAAGTAACAATGAAACAGAAAGAAGGTAGGCCAGTTAAATCACAGTTTATTTTACTTCTTATTTGATTTTGCTTTCTCTCTCTTTGACATTGAATATTCCCTTCCGTATTCACTTCATCTGCCTTTTTTTGTTCTTCGATTCCTGGTCGTCTCTTCCTCCGCCTGCTTCTTCTTATTTTATTGCAATTTCCGTTTTCTTTGTACAGTTATTTTAAGTGTTGATCTTACTTCTCTTCCACTCATTTTTATGATTAAATAATACTACTATCAATGATTTTTTTTCAGCGTTTGGAAGTAGTGGAGAAAAGCGTCAAATACAAGGGATCTACAAGCAGTGCAAAAACGAGTGAGTATCCGTTCGTCAAAAAATGTATTTAGATTTAATTAAAAATGAATACATTTTTTTTTTCTTTTTTACAAAATGCTGTAAAAATATTCGATATATAAAACTAATCTAATTCGCTGTCGATTTTCATTTCATTTCCAAAAATATTTGCACTGTTATTCTTGACCTTTATGTGATAGATTCTTCCCAACTATTTTATTATCCATTTCACTGCATATGTCATTGGCATTACCATCACAATAAACGTTCTCAATATTCTACACACTTTATACTTCGTTTTATCTGTCACCATTCGTACTGCCACTACTGGCACTTGAGTGGCTGGACCCCGCCCCCCCCCTAACGCCCGCCTTCCCCGCAGGTCACTTCCAAGGGCAACTCAACACCCTGCGCGACGCCACCAGGGTCATGGCGGCCAACATCACGTCCCTCGAGAGCCAGCTGGAGTCCGTGCGAGACTCCGAGGCCCAACTCAGGAAGGACGTCCAGGCACTCCAGCAGCAGTCAGGGCAGGTGGACCTTGACCTGAGCGCCCTGGAGGCTAAAGTAGGCAGCACAGCCAACCTGACGGCGAGGGTGAAGAACCTGGAGAAGAGGATGGCGAGGCGCGATGCTACGTTCACCACAGGCAACAAGCTCCTGTCGTCGTGAGTTACTTTGCCGGCCCGTTTGTGTGCTTGTGGGCAGCGTACGTTGGTGTGAATGAACAAGGTCATTCGTTATATAATTATTAAAAAGGTACTAATGATAGATTTTTTTTTTATAAGGATTTATTGCTAGGAACAAAAGTTTCCGTCTTTCTCACTTCCCTTTATCGTCTAATTTCAAATCCCTCTTTCACTTATCTTCCTTGATATTACCATTTCCCTTTCCTATATCAATTTTCGCCCCTTCTTTCTTATTCTCAATTTACCATTTCCCTCTACCTCTTTCATTCTCCCTCATCTATCTCCTTCTCTTCCTGTTTTCTCTTTTATTTTTCTCTCTTCCGTTTTCCATTTCTCCCATCCCCTCTTCCTCATCCCTCTTCTGTCTTCCCTTTTCTTCTTTCCTCATTCCTCTTCTATCTTCCCCTCCCCTTTCATTATTTCCCTTATATCTTCCCCTCTACGTCTTTGCTCTATTATCTCCCTCTCTCTCTCTCCTTTCCCTCATTACTCTTCTATATTTCCCTTTTCCTCTGTCCTCTTCTATCCTCCTTTCCCCATTCCTCATCCCTCCTCTACCTTCACCTCTTCATCCTTCCTCGTGCATATTCTTTTCTCTCCCTTCTCTCATTCCTCTTCTATCTTGTCTTTCCCTTTCCTCATCTTTCTTCTACCTTCCTCTCTTCATCTTTCCTCGTTTATCTCCTCTTCCCTTTTCCTCATCCCACCTCTGTCTTCCTCTCTTACTTTTCCTCTTCTATCTTCCTCTCTCCTCCTTTCCTCATTCTTCTCCTATCTTCTCCTCTTCCAGTTCCTCTTGTATTTCCCTCCCCTTTTCCTCATTCCTCCCCCGTTTTCCCACAGACTCACCACCGGGGGGTCCATGCTGAACGCCCCGGGCGGGAAGGCTCCAGTGACCTTCCTCAAGAACCCAGGTCAGATTGGTTTCCCGATGGGCTCTGGTCCTTCGAGTCCTGCAGGTGTGGCTCCTTCGCACATGACTCCTCCGAGCGGCGCTCTCTCAGCCTCCACAAGTCTGGCTGGCGCTGGCTGGCCTGCGTCCGCGAACTCGGTCATTGCTGGAACAAATAAGAACTTAATGCCAGTTACTAATTCGGGAGCGAGTGGTGGCCACATTACACCTAACCCGCCGAGAACCACTGTTAGTCCAGGACTAGTTGGCAACACGGGGGCAGCTAGTAGTCCGGGAACAACCGGTGGTCTAGGAACAACCGTAAACGCAATTGTAACTAGCACTCCAAGGCCAGCTGGTAACGCAAGTGTAACAGGCATCTCAGGAACCACTGTTAACCCAGGGACGGCTGGTAATACAAATGTAACTAGCATCCCGGGGGTAGCTAGCAGCCCAGGAACAGCTGTTGTCCCACGAACCGCTGGTAACACAAGTATAACTAGCACCCCAGCACCAACTAGTAACCCTGGAGCAACTGGAAATACAAGTGTTACTAGTACCCTAGGGGCATCTGGTAGCACAAGTACAGCTAGTACCACAGGTGGAACTAGTAGCCCAGGAGCAGCTAGTAACCCCGGAGCAACTGGAAATACAAGTGTTACTAGTACCCCAGGGGCATCTGGTAGCACAAGTACAGCTAGTACCACAGGTGGAACTAGTAGCCCAGGAGCAGCTAGTAACCCCGGAGCAACTGGTAAACCGGGGGCATCTGGTAGTCCAGGAACACCTGGCAACCCAGGAGCGGTCGGTAACACAAGTGTAGCTAGTAATCCAGTAGCAGCTGCTAACCCAGGCGCAGCCAGGGGGCTTGGGGCATCTGGCAACTCAGGAAGTGCTGGTAAGCCAGGAGCATTTGGTAACAATGGAATAGGAGGCAGTAGGGGAGCAGCTGGTGCCAGG